GCTGAAGAAAAAAACAAACGCGATCACAATTCGCCGGCCCAACGGGCCAGAGGCGTGCTAAGATCTCCGGTAACTACTTAACAATATTTCTAGTTCGCGCGCGCGGGGCGGCCCCCGGGGGGGGGCCCGGGCGAAAAGTGCCCCGGGAAGGTCCCGGGGTACTCCTGGCAGACTCGGGTCAGAGATGGTTTTCCTCCTGGGCGCGGCCTTCAACGCTCCCCGGAGCGCGCCAAGAAGGCCCCAACAATAATCCACTTAAAGGCTGGAGCTTCTTATGCTACTTAAGCTTAGCGCTGAGTACCTCAAGTAAATTAGGCTACTTACCGTTGCAAGTTAGTGCTACTTACTAAGTTACTTACTAAGTTACTTAGGGTTTCATGTCTAAGTTACTCATGGGCTTCGCATAAGTACCACTAGCTTTTTGAAAGGGGGAGGGCGAGGGGGGGGGGGAAGGCGAGGGCGCGCGGCCAACTCAGCCGTTGTTCGCGGGCTTCTTCAGCGCAAGCGCGCCGCGTTCTTATCATGTTTATTATTATCATTATTCTCCTTCTTCTCCTTCTTCTTCTTGTGTTGCCTCTCCTCCTCGCGCCGCGTCGCCGCCTCCAGCGCCGCCAGCGCCGCGTCGCGCGCCGCCGTCGTCTTCCGCGTCGTCGCCACGTCGTCATCGTCGCCCCCACCTCGGTGAGCCACTGGCCCAGGTCGCGGACCTGCTGCAGCAAGCCGCGGTCGATCGCCTGGGCGAGGAGGAGGCGGGGGAGGAATAGGAGGAGGTGGGGGAGGAGGAGGAGGGGGGGGGCGAGGAGGAGGGGGAGAAGGAGAAGGGGGGGGGGCGACGAGGGAAAGGAGGAGGAGGATGAGGAGGAGGACGAGGAGGAGGAGGATGAGGGGGAAGAGGGGGGGGAGAGGAGGAGGAAGGAGAAGGAGGCGGAGTAGGAGTAGGAGGAGGATGAGGAGGAGGAGGAGGAGGAGGAGAAGGGGAGGAGGAGGGGGGGGAGGAGGAGGAGGAGGTGGAAAAAAGGAGAAGGAGAGGTCGATGGGGGGAGGAGGAAGAGGATGAATAATAATCAGAAGAGAGCGATCGCTATCGCTGGATTGGAGGGGGACGCGGGGCCTCCCGCACAGAGCGCCACTGCGACAGCTCGGCCTGCTGCTCGCGGTGCCACGCGACTCGCGCGACCAGCTGGCCCTCCATCGCAGCGGCCCGCGGAGCGCCCTGTCCTGCCCACCCCCCCTCGCCTCCTGCAACGATCGCCATCGCTATCGCGATTCCTGCCCTTTCTCCTCATCCTTCCCTCGTCGCCGCCCTCCTCCTACACCTCCTTCTACAGCGGTCGCCACCGCTCCGCCCAGGCGATCGCCATCGCCCCCGCCATCATTCAAGCGATCACCATCGCTCCGCTCCATATCGCGCAGATCCTCTCCCCCCCCCCCCCCCCCCCCCCCCCCCCCCCCTTTAAGCGGTCGCCGCCGATCCGCCCAGGCGACCCCCATCGCTCGCCCCCCATCCTCCTCCTCTTCCTCCTTCCTTTCCCTCCTTCTCCCCTTCCCCCTCCTCCTCCCCTCCCCCCCCCCCTCCCCCCCTCCTCCTCCTCCTCCTCCTCAAGCGGTCGCCACCAGCTCCGCCCAAGCAATCCCCCGCTCGATCCCCACCCCTCCCTCCCCCCCCCCCTCCCCTCCCCCATGCCCGCCCCCCTTCCCCCCCCCCCCCCCCGCCGCCCGCCCCCCCCCCCCCCCCCCCCTCCTCCTCGCAGATCCCCCCTCCACTTAAAGCAGCCGACGCCCCTCCGCCCAGGCGTTCGCCATCGCTCCCCCCGCTCTCATCAGCCCCCTGCGCATCAACGGCGCGGCGCGATCTACAATTTGTTTTCAGTCGCGGGCGCGCGCAATTGTACATTCGCCCTTTGCGCAAGCGCCGCGCCCAAACCGACGCCGCCAGGTCGGCGTCGACAAGCTTGATCGCGAAGAGCTCTTTGATCACGCGGCCAGTGCTAACGCCGCTCCCGCGCGCGTGGATCTCGATCCCCCGCGCGCGACGACGTGCAAGTCGCCCGAAATGGCGGCGCGCGCGTCCGCGACGAAGCACTCGCCACCGCGCGAGCGAACGATCTCGCCTACTTTGAACTGGGCCCCCTCCCAGCGCAGCGACAGCGCCACGGATGCCTCGACGGCCCCGATCGCGGAGCGCAGCTCTGGCGAGTCAACCATCGGCGGCGCCAGCGCGTTGCCAGACGGCCCCATGTCCCTGAGCATCCGCAACTGGTGCAGGACGGCGGCCCCGAAGACCGCGCGCTCGAAATTGGAGCAGTTCGTCGCGGACTCGGCAATGCCCTTCGCCACCTTGTTGTGCCGCTCAGCGACGAAGCAGTCGAGCTGCTTGGGCCCCAGGTCAGCGTTGCGGCGTTCGATTGCGACGGGCGGTGTTGGAGGGGGCGCCCTCAAACACCCCCCCCCAACTCAAACGCAACGCCCACGGGGGGGGGAGAGGTGCGCTTTGGGGAGTTCCTGCGCCGCGTTGTGCAACACGTAGTGGTGCCTCGGCTTGACGAAGCGGGAGCCGTACACCCGCTGGTGGAAGTCAAAATTGACCTCTGCCAGCGCGAAAAACTCCTCCTTGGTTGGGGCGGGAAGCCCGCGCTTGGCCAGCAGGAATGCGTCCGCCATCAGGCAGCGCGCGCGGAAGGAATCGAGCTCGCGCTCGAGCGACGGAATGTCGGCGACGCGCTCCTCGGCGCACGCCAGCAGGATGTGCAACAGGGAGATCAGCTCGCTTGCGCCAGATTTGAACGACTTCTTGCACGCGGTCTCGTGCCCAGTCGTGAACGCATGCCGCGTCACCGGCAAGCCGCCAACGCACGACCAGCAACGCACGTACTTGCGCAAGTCGGCGAACGACATGCCAGCCTTCCTTTTGCACGCGCCCAGGAAAGCGAACACTTCCCAACCGATGATGCCATTGCTCCAGAGGTTGTGCGTTGAATCGTACATCAACGATGACGGTCGCACCGCGCTCCGCAGCTCGCGATCGTCAGGCAGCGCGTTAGCGTGGTAGTTGGACCCGCTGGCGACCTCGAGCTTCTTGAACCCGGCCGCTGACAGGTGGCCAACCTGCGCGGCGAGCCCGCCCCAGAGCCCTCGCGCCTCGTCGCCCGACTGCGCGTCGAAACGCGCGAAGTCGCGGCAGCAGATGTCGACGAAATAATTGTCGACGTCGCCCGCGACGCGGGCTCCTTTTCTGGTGACGTTCTTGCATCGCATGCACGGCCGCCAACCGTTTGCACCTTTCATGCTGAATACTCCCTTGTGGGCGTCCATGTCGGCGAGGATCTTGCACTGGCGCGCCCGAATCAGCGCCGAGGTGCCGTCGGCCAAGGGCGCGCGCTCGCCAGCAGTGGCCAGCCTGCTTGGAGCGAGGAACATATTCCTCTGGAGGAGCCGAACGACGCAGCTGATGCCGCCGTTCACGCCGTTGGCGACCTTCGAGCGCAGGACGCCACATGGAAGCCACAACTCTAGCCTGTGCAGCATGTCGGAACCGAACCCCAGGAAGCTGAAGCATATCATCCAGAATCTTCGGTCGCGCAGCGGCGCCAACGCGCCGCCTGGCGCGATCTCGTCCAAATATAACACCAGTGTGAGCGGTATGCCACCTTCAACCGCCCGCTCGATAATCGCCGCGTATTCGGAGCTCTCTCGGCACACGTGCCGCAACAAGTTGCCGACATTACCGACGTGCCAATTGAACGGCTTCTCAGCCTTGTCGGCCATTGGGAGCTCGATCGACGTGCCGACGGCGTCGTAAGCCTCAACCACGGCGGAACTGACCGCATTGCGAGATATCGATGCAGCACGATCTGGGCCATCCACGAATTGCTTCGCGAGGCGCACGAGTGCCCTGGCAGGGGTGCCTGGCACGGCGACGAGCTCGCCCAATCGGCGACGCTTGGCGGCGCGCTCGCCTGGCGGCGCGGCCGAGGCAGCCATGCGGCGCGCGGGTGCGCGCCGATATCGAGCCGACGCTGCTCTATGACTGACCATGCGCCCAGTCTCCCAGTCTCGAAAGCGATCGTCATCGCTGGCAACACTTTCCTTCCCCCTCATCCCCCTCCGCCGTCTCAGCATCATCCTCATCATCATCATCCTACTTCTCGTTCCAACCACCGCCCATCACCCCGCCCCAAGCGATCGCCATCGCTGAACATTTTGATCCCCGCGCTGCTCCTCATCATAGCGATCGCCATCGCTGCCATCCCTCCCGCAGCGATCAGCACCGCTACCCCCCACCCCGCAACGATCGTCATCGCTAGGTCACTCGCCCACCCGCTTCTGCCACCTCCACGACTGCACCACCCACATCCAGCGATCGACATTGCTATCACCGTTATGTTTTTACAAGCCACAACCGCTGCGCGATCAACGCGCAGTCGGTGGGAGGGGGGCAACGCGCGTCACCGCGCGCCTCGCCCGCACCTGAAACTAGGCACGCGGAGCTGCGCAAATGCGCTGCGCCGCGCGGAAATGATGTGCCGCGCGGCGGGTGGCAGGGGAGGCGCCTCATCCTCCTCGTGCGCATCCTCCTCGTCATTCCCCTCCGTCACGGTGCGCCTCGCCCGCGCCATGGCGCGGCGTGGCGCAAATGCGCTGCGCCGCGCGGAAAGGCCTCCTTGCTGGGTTGCCTATGCGCAGCAAGGGACAAGGCACATGGCTGGTGTACGCCAGCGGTGGCAGCTGCACTCTCTGGCTGCGCAAGCTCCAGCAGAATACAGCTGGGCGCCTGCAAGCAAACATAAATCCCAACAGCTCAAAAATAACCCAGCCTGCGGCTGGACGAATACAGCTCCGCAAAATAAAGCTGTCTGACTGCGCAAGCTCAAGCGTGGCGCCTGGATCAGACGGCAGGCTTCTGTGTCTCTGCCTAAGCTTGCGGCTGTGGTGCGCGCGGTGGTGGGCAGGGCGCGCCACCGTCCTCAATCCCCCCACCATGGCCATGGTGGGGAACGGCGCTAAGGCACCACGTGGCCGACAGCGCCGCTACCTGCAGCGACCTCCTGGCGATGCGTGGCTGCGCTAAGGCCGCGCCGATGACGTCCAGACCATGCATACTTCATGGTCTGGATGCCCTTGCACATCGTGCTCACGAGCACACCCTGTGCATTCGCCGTGTTGGCGATGTCGTTCACTTCGGTCGCCGTCCAAGTGAACTTGGAGGGGCCCCAGCGCCTGGAGGCAATCTTCGAGCTCGCCCTTAAAATGGCCGACAACGTCTGCAACTTGTCGGCCGCGTTCTTCTTGATGGCATCGGGGAGCTTGCCGAAGCCGTCGGGTTCAATGGCTTTTTCCAGCCTCTGGTGCGGGACCATCAGCTTCGCCTGCAGGAGGAGAAGGAGGCCGAGCATTGCTTGGGGGTGGGATGGAGGAGGATGGGGGGTAAGAGGGTGATGATAATCACCTGCGCCCGCGTCGCCAGGAGCATCTTGGCTGCCTTCTCCTTCTCCGCCTTCTTCAGCGTGTCCATCCTCTATTTGGCGCTCTCCCTCTCAGCCTTCTCGCGGGTCTTCCCCTCTCGGGCGGTCTCATGCGACGGCGGCAGCGGCAGCTCGGGGGAGTCGCTGTCGGCGTTGCTGTCGCTGCCGCTGCTGGTGGGGAGCGGCTTCTTGTGCTTCTTGTGAGCATTGCCCTTCTCATGGGCACCGGCGTCGCGGTGATTCTTCTCCTTAGTGCTGGCGGCTCTCTTCTTCTCAGCGGCCTTGCCCTTGGCCTTGCCCTTGCTGCTCTTGTGGATGGGCGTGTCTTTGGCGCGGCCCGCGCTGCTCTTATCAAAGCGCGTGGCCTTGCTGCCTGTGCCCTTGTCCTTGTGTCTGTCCTTGCTGCTTCTGCCCTTGTCCGTGTGCGCGGCCTTGTCTTTAGGGCGCTTAGTGTTAACGTCCAGTGCTGCTCTGATCATCGCATCACTCGATAGCTTTGCGTTGCCGCCGTGATTGCTGACCTTCGCATCGCCGTCCTTGCGATGCCTCTTATCTCTGCGCGTGGCACTGATGCGTTCAATGTCGTCATCGCTGCGCAGCTCGTCCTTGAGTGAGACCTTCTTGGCGCCGTCCTTGCGGCGATGCTTTGCCTTGATGGGCGGCGTCGGTGGCTCGTGACTCGAGCCGTCCTCTGATGAGCGATCGCGATCATCATCGCTACCGCTGGGCGACGCAGGTGAATCACTGATCACCTCGTCGCGTTCGCCGCCCTCCTCCTCCTCGCCGCCTTCGCACTCCCCCTCGCATTCCTCGAAGTCGGCGTTGTCGACATCGTCGGCCCCCTCGCTGCTCTCGCGGTCACCGCCCGCTGCAACGTCACCGCCGCTCGCGTCGACGCCCTTCGCGGACTCCTCCTGGACCTTTCTGCCCACTCGTTGCTCCCGGCGCTCTATTTCATGCATTTCAACGCGGTAACACTTGCCCAGCACGGGGTGTTGAACAACGTCCGTGCACGTGGATTTGATGCGGCGCCACGGGAACCCTTGTTTCTTGTACCACGTCAATGGGTAATAGCCGCCTTTCTTGCCGTGCCGCTGCCCCTTCTCCGCGAGCGTCTGCAGCGTGAAGCCCAGGTGCTTCTGCTATTCAAACTTCTTCGCGCATTCCTGCAGGCCGCTCCAGAAGGCCTTCCGCCCGTGATCATTGAAACGCAGCAGCCGCGCCTTCATCGCACCCCACTCCTCGCAACGAGCGACTTGGACGCCGCGCGACGAGCACAACTTGCACCTGAAGACCTGCTCCTTCTTCGGGGCCCGCATGGGATACGACGACATCACGTCGCACGGCTGGCCGCACCGATCGCAGTGGAACGTGTCGTCGAGAGCATCCAGGCCCATCTCGCGCTGGTCGCTCAGGCGGCTCCTTCTCTGCGGGCCCGATAGCGCCGCGAAGCTCCCCACCGCGAACCTCTGTGGAGAGGGGCAGTCCTCGCCCCACCCCGTCTTGCTGGGTGTAGCCGTCCCCGAACTCGCAGCAGTCGAGTCCGCCTGCGGCGGTCGGACTTGCACCTTCTGGATCCACTTGCCGGTGTCCGCGTAAGCAGCCATGGCCTTGCCCGCGGCCTTGGGCACAGGCGCTGCCGCACTCGCCACTGCTGCCTTGGTCTCAGGCGCTGCAGCGTTGACCGACTTGGTCCTGGGGGGCACAAGCGCTGCCGCGCTCGCCGACTTGGCCCTGGGTGGCACAGACGCTGCCGCGGCCGTCGCCTTGGCTGTGGCCTTCTTGGGCGGTGGCTTCGGCGCCGACATGGCTTTGCCATTAGCCTTGCCCTTCGCCACGTGCTGGGTCGCCGTATCTGCAGCCTTCGCCTTCTCCCTGGCCTTCTTCGGCGGCCGCTTCCCCTTTATGGGCACACTCGGCGTCGCCGTCGGTGGCGTCGCGGCGTCGCCCGCGACGCTTGCAGCGGCCGCGGCGCCGCCCGCGCTGCCTGCATCGACCGCGGCATCGCCCGCGCAACCTGCCGCCGCGGCGTCGCACGTCGCGCTGCCTGCCGCCGCGGCGTCGCCCGCGCTGCCTGCCGCCGCGGCGTCGCCCCCCTCGGCGTCGCCGGCCGCTGCGTCGCCCCCCATCGGCGCCGCCCGTCGCGGCGCCGCTTCCCTCGGCGCCGCCCGCCGCGGCGTCACTTGCCTGCCCGTTGCCCATGCCGAGGTCGGCAATCATAGCAGCGTGCAAGCTATCGTCGTTCGGCCCCGCGAGCTTCAGCGTCGCCTCGCTGTCGCAGTCGCTTTCGTCATTGGCCTGGACGGCGCCCGTCGCGGCGGGCATGGCGCGCGGGCCCCGAGAGCGGCGCGCGGCGCGCAAGCCCCGCGATCGGGGGGGCGTTCTCGTCGCAAGGACGAGCGCCAAGCTCGCCCGCCCGATCTACAACAGCAATGGCGTCACATCAACAACCACGATCGTTATGAACAAGCGGTCAACACCGCTTAAGTTCCTTACCACGCCTAAGTAGGATAAGTACGTTAAGTTCCACACGATTTTTTGTGGGATATCTTGTGTTATCCTATGTTATCAGGGAATTCCTGACACCATGATACACAACATATAGCATGCTATCCTAACTGATAACATGTGATCCTGAAAGATAACATGGTATCATGGGTGTGGTATCTTATAATATAGCATGGTACCCTTAAGGAAATCATGGTATCATATGTTATATTTTGTTATCATCGCACCCGAAATTTCAGGATAATAAAAGGTAGCACAAGATAGCAAACATATAACAAACATATAACATCGTGAGGAACTTATGTTACTTGTGATACTTGCGATACTTGCGGACTTACTCCGATCGCCACCACCGCCATCCCGCAATCTCGCTCCCCCGACCTCATCATCATTCCCACGGGCCATCGCCATCGCTTACGCTCGCGGGTGATCGTCATCGCCACACCATCCCCCTCAACATCACTCACCGTCGCCCCTCTCAAGCAATCGACATCGCTACACCACCCCATCCGCATCCCTCACCGCCGCCCCGCCCAAGCGACCGACATCGCTAACACAATTGACGGTCGCCGCTTACTCAAGCGATCGGCATCGCTACGCAATCCCCACTCAACATCCATCGTCACCGCCCCCCCCAAAAAAAAAAACGATCGGCATCGCTAACCCAAGCGACGGTCATCGCTTACCCAAGCGATCGGCATCGCCACGCACTCCCCCGCTCAACGCCCATCGTCACCGCCCCCCCCCCCCCGCCCAAGCGATCGGCATCGCTAATCCAAGCGACGGGCATTGTTACCCCAAGCGGTTGCCATCGCTCACGCAACCGATAAACATCGCTACCCCCCCCCCCCCCCCACGCACACACACACACACACACGCGCACACACACACACACAACACACACACACACACACACACACACACACACACACACACACACACACACACACACACACACACACACACACAACACACACACGCACACACACACACACGCACACACACGCACACACACACACACACACACACACACACACACACACACACACACACACACAACACACACACACACACACCACCCCACCCCACCCACCCCACCCCACCCCACCCACCCCACCCCACCCCACCCCCCCCCACCCGCCCCCCAAGCCCGCGCCGCCGCTCCGACCAAGCGATCGACGTCGCTATCTCAAGCGATAGGCATCGCTAACCCACGCGCTCGACATCAAAGCGATCGTCACCTCTTCCCCTCGCAACGCATTTTGCCAACGATAGGCCGCGCGGCCACCGCGTCACCGCGGCGGCGGGCGCGGGGCGGCGCGGGCCGCAAGGGCCGCCCGCCGCGGCGACGGGCGCGGCGGGGCGGCGGGTGGCCGGGGACGGGCGCGGCGGGGGCCGCCGCGGCGGGCGCGGCGGGGGCCAGCGGCGGCGGGCGGGCGCGGCCGCGGCAGCGCTGCCAGCGCTGCGGGGCGGCGGCGCGGGGAGGCAGCCTGGTGACAGTTGAGAGCCGAGCGACTACCTGCTGGATGCATGGATGCCGAATGGTTAGCCACTTGGTGCCACCACCAGCTAACCATTCAGCTTCCTGGCGTCCCCCAGTTAATCGATCCGCCCCCGACTGCAGTGCAACCTCAGAGGCCGCGCGGCCGCATCGCCTGCTCGACGTCGGCGCGCACCGACGCCGGGCTCGCCGCCTCGCGCTGGAACGCGGCCGAGCTTTGCTGCACGCGTCCGCCACCGTCTCCGCGCAGCTCTCGGCCCTCCTGATGTGGCCCACGATCTGCTTGGCCGCGCCCATGGACAGCGTCGCGGTTGTCGCGCTCACGGACAGCGGCACCATCGGCGCCATGGTCTCCTCGAGGATGGTGGCCGCGTTCGACGCCGACGGCGAAGAGGCCGCAGCAGAGCCCGCAGCCACGACGCCCGCCACCGCCATCATCGCCCCCTTGAGACTCTCCGCAGTCCCATGGAGGGAGCGGACCTGATCGGCGGCGGCGGCGTGCGGCGGCGCCGAGGGTGCCGACTTGGCGTGGAGGCCGCCGCCGCCAGCGACGACGCCTCGGCGGGCGGCGGCGGCGAGCGAGGTCGGCTCGTCCCTGCGCTTCGGCGAGCGCGGGACGCGGGCCGCTGGCGGCGGGCTGGCCTCCTCGCGCTTGGCGCGGCGGCGGCGCTTGCGCGACCGCGACCGCGGCTCGCGCGACTGCCCGCGACTCGCGGAGGTGGCTGCTGCTGCTGCTGCTGCGTCTGCTGCGCCCGCTGCCTCGGCCATCTTCCTGGCCTCCCACGCGCGCCACTCATCGACGTCCTCGGGGTCGACGGGAGTGGCGGTCACCGTGCGCGCCATCTCGGCCCGCTGCCATTGTTCGGCGGGCACATGGCTCTCAGCGGCCGGGTTCTTCAAGTGCTCCTCGTACCAGGTGTAGCACTCTTGCGGCGACTGCTTGAAGCGCTTATTTGTGCAGCCTGGGGCCGCGCGCCCGAGGCGGTGCCACTCGCCCTGCGCCGACGTGGTGCCTCTGCTGGAGCTGCTGCTGTCGCTGCT